TACAAGTTTGTATGTTAAAATAAAATGTATCAGCAGTGATTCAATACCTTCCCACATGCACAAAAAATAGCTAAACCAGCGAAGTGCATACAAGGTTTTTTTAAAATCAGTTGAGCTCTAAAGCTGTCTTATAGGTAAGCTTAAAAACATTGATTCTATGCATGAATAGCTTGTATGTCTGAAAATAGCAAACGCTTGGGACAATCCAGTGCCGCGGTGCTGATGGACAGCAAAGTTGATAGCGGAACGCAAGTTTCCGACCGTGTCTTGTCAAGAGACGTTCGTACCACCCGTTGCGGTTCAAGAACGCTAACCGGGAATCTATGGATTGTATTCCCGACCAGATTTTATCTGTAACGTGGCAATTTATTGTGGTGGACGCTGAAAGCTTGTTTGGCCAATGGCGCATGTTTCAGGTCTCAAGTTTCTGACCACATCAAGTCGTCGATAGAAAAGGCTACACTGTAGAGCGTCACCCGATATGCTCCGACTCTTGAGACAGATCGCGGAGGGTGAGATCGCGTCACAAGAGCTTTAGCTCTGTCGTCACCTCAGCTCGCCAACATTTACGCCAAGCAATAAGATTTTTGTACAACCACACTAGAACGATTCATGTAAATTATTGTTAATAATAATTTATAAATTTATTCCGTCTAATAGATATTCTAAACGAAAATTAAAGGATGGCAACCATCGCTTACGACAGTTGCAAAAAAATTTCGACCTCTACTCTGTTGGGCATACCATCTATAAATTAATTGTGAAATGTATCTTACTTTCAATGCCTGTAATTAAACGAAACATAAATGTCCAGCTAATATGAAGGGGCATCGGTTAAAAATATATGTATTACATCAAATTCTCACAATTACTCTGACTATGCTTCCATTTACTACTTCATACAATGCGTCCCAACGAAACAAGTTTAGTTGAAGTGTAAATAGAAGAGGGTGTGAAATTTGTTGAACAAACTTTTCCATGAGCTTAGGCGACTAAAAAACGCGACCACGACAGAAAAGAACAGCAAATTGTTCTGTCTGTCAAAAGCAAAAAGATAAACGCTTCAGAGAGGCGATGACCAAAAAAATTCTCCAGTTTTTAATACGGCGAAGTATTGCTGCATCTGTGACCTCTAGCTTTCAAAACAAGGACTATTTTTCGTTCTCTTATAAGAGGACTCCAATAAGTCTGTTCTTTGTAAGAGAGCTTATTTTCACAAGAAGAACATTTAACATAAATTTACTTAAACTATTATACCTTTCCGTACGATAGAAGAAAATATCAATTAATTTCTGAAATACATTTGTTCATACAACTAATTGTGTGCAAGTTTGATTAAAGACAAGAGCATGCTTTTTATTAATAAACTTCTCATTCGTTTTTTCAATGAGTTGAACAAAATTTCTTGCTGGCGCCGGGAGATCAAAAATCAGAGATCAGCAGGATAATACTAGAGTACCTTACTGTTATTTCCAAATTTCATATATTTCAAATGTAGCAAAACCTTCACCAGCTTGATAATGAATACCGGTATTGTATTTTCGAAACGTCGCAATCCATTAAAATGTAATTTGTTAACCTGCTTTTTGATCTCCCGGCGCCAGCAAGAAATTTTGTTCGACTTATTGAAAAAAAGAATAAGAAGATTATTGATAAAAAGCCGGCTCTGGTCTTTAATTAAACTTGCATAAAAGAAAAGCTTCTGCCGAATTACACCAACAACTAATTGTATATAGGCCTACTTTGAGAAGTTAGATTAATAGATTGTGATGAACGAGTTAAAGCGCTTGAGGAAAAATTTAGAGAAAGGAATGATTATTCCTGTATTATATAGCACTGAAATAAACCTAAGAAAAGCTCTAAAGATTGAGAAAATTTAGTGATGTGGCCACTTGAGCGATGAGCTTATTAGCTCCTATTAATAAGCTTTTCGCCACTTTTTCGCTTCCCTATCACACTATTATTGCAGTGACACAGACAAGATTAAATCTTAATTTTACCTAATTGACGCTGTAAACTTAAGGTATTTTTCCAGCTTTCACATTCAAATTAGCTATGTGTTCCGATGTACTAGAGATTATTTTCGAAGAAACCTACCTATACGTAGTTGATCCGATGGCACGTTTGGCTGCCTCTCGCTCATGGTCAACTGTCATGAAACCAAGATTTGAAATACTATACATCAGGCCCGTTGAAACATCAAAGAATATGTATGGTATCTTGGTATCTAAAATACCTTGGTATAGTATCCATCATCCATGCTTCGGGGTTGGAGCCGAAGCGTGGAAAAATACTGCAGCACCTCAAAACTATTACCGTAGCTATGCAAACCATCACGCCTCGGCGCATCGAAATATCGCATCGTACAATAAAGCGCTACATGCACAGTTAATCGGTGCACAGTTAATAATTTTTGTTCTAGGTACAGGATATCAAAAGAGAATGACATGTAAACGACGAATGGCTTATTACGTTTGACATGTGATTTCAGCGGATGGCTTGAAATGCCGTCTGTCTAGGTAACATCAAAATCCAAAAATAAAAGTTGACTCAGAATAATTTTAATTTTCTTTTTGTTATTTTAAAAAATCTCGCTTAGAAAATCACCCAAAATAAACTCTGTCATTCTCGGTCTCTTTGTTGATATTGGTCCTACCACATTACAAAAAAAGTAGCCCCTCCTCCTAACTAGGAACACATTTTCTTCCTTCAGAAGAACACATTTTCTTTTTTTTTTTGCTGGGTGACTATTAGTATTACATCATATCCGAGATTTCTGAAGCTAACCCATTAGCGCCCATGATCCCCAATTGGGGATCGTTTGATTTTGTGGATATTATACCTGAACTATTGATCAGGAACATGTTCTTCTTCAATAAAGTATACATATAGGTTACAGACATCAACTGAGATCAGTTACAACTGTATCCCTTTTCCTGAAAAATTGAATATATGAAATTTTCTGAGAGAAGTGACCGTAATCGTGATGTGACAGAGATATCAATTTTTGACATGTACATTTTTCCCATTTATAAATATTTCTGATTCATAATACCATAGTAGGTGGTAGAATAGTCTATGTTCTTCTGAAAATGCTAAGGTTAGTCTCAATTATACTGTTAGTAATGCTGTAAACATGTATTTTATGCCGATCCCCATTTGGGGATCATGGGCAGTAAGAATATCGTAAAGCCAAGTCTGCCAAGGAAAATGTATTTTACCACATACTGATGTATTACCTAAATTTTTCATAAAGTAACAAAAGTTAGCAACATTATCATTCACTTAGTNACTCACTTCATAAATTTGGAAATAATAATAAGAACGGTGACGAAAAATAATCGGTATTTTTTATTACCCTTTTGCCCATGATCCCCATTTGGGACTTTTTCTTTAAACTACTGCTACTCTCATTATATCCTCTAAAATAGTGCAGAAACTGTTTTATATGAAATATTTCCACCATATGAAGGTTTTCAGATGGAAATTTCACAAATCAAAAATTTGGGCGTTAATGGGCTAAACCAACCTCGAAGTGGTTTTATGCCGTGGATTAGTACCATGGTCAATTCATTAACTTACATTCTTTATATTTTTACTAATATTCTTGTAATTCGTTGCCTTGTTTGTAATTTTTTTCAATATTATTTTATGAATAGTTTCCTTTGTTCTCAATGCCTAATGACTTTATAATATTCATATTCTAGGATTTTTTTAATATGTAAATTTACGTCAATTTATCAAGTAATATGCATTAGTGGTGTCAGTGTTGAATAGGCAAAATCTGGCCTGTCGCCGATTCTTGGCGTTGTACAATTCTTACAGCAATCCTTTGTGGAGGTCTCGAATCTGCAACCCACATTCATGTTTGGGGTTACGGGTTTTCTGGTCTTACAGCAGTCCCCATTCTTGTTAAGGTTTCGAACCCACTACTGACTGCTCCAATTTTGGAGCAGTGAGTAGAAGTTTCACCAATCTCAACCACTCGGCCTCCTCGGCGATTTTTACTAGAACTGTCAAAGGAAGTTGAGAACTAACCCACAACACACTGCTCCAATCCTAGCACTCTGAACTTTTACTACTCTGCTATCCTGCCCCAATTTTTATTTGACTGAATGCTTCTAACAAAAAGTAAAAAATTATGAACGAAAAGACTATTGTTCATTAATACAAGCTTCTAATAGACATCATTCGGTGCATAAGTAGCACTCTCATTTGCAGTATTTTTACCTTTTAGCGTCTAGCTGCACATATCTGTCGACTTTCAAAAGGGCGATTTTTCTTTATATTTGAAGCTCATTCGTCCAATTGGACAAATGTACTGGCTTTAATATCAGGCTGCGCTATGCTCAGGTGAACGCTCCGTCTCCTGTCAGTTTTTTAATGAATAAATTTCAGCAATGTGGTATGGATGCAACGTAGTATTTGGCACTCGCAGGGGAGCTGGTCGCTAAAGAATGTTAATAAAATAATATATCTCAGTACTCACTGCAATGAGTGACCAGGAGCGCATTTTCTCGTCGACGAAAACGTGAAGTCACGGACGGACAGACAGACGGACTGTTACCAAGGACATGACGAGCACAATAGCCCCTTTTTCCATAAATGAGAAAATGCGCTAAAACGAGTAACAGAGTGCAATTAAGGTATAAATTGGAAACTTTTCTGTCAAGTTAAACTCTTTCAACCAATTAAGTTAATGCATCTGCGATCATCTTAGTACTGCCATTTCAGAGGCTTCGTCAAAAACAAAACGAACGATTCAATCTTTCCTCTGGTTTAGATAACCTCCTAAATTGGCTACGTTAGATGAATTAGAATAGAATAAAATAGAATAGAAGCTTCGGCACTGAAGAAATAGGTCCATGGCCTGTTACCGATTCTAGTCAGACAATCCAATATAAAAATCAGACAATCAAATATAACTGAGAAATTTCATACAAAAAATGTTAAATGCAAACTAAATTTAAATCAAGTATTCAAGGAATTTAAACAGATTATAACCCAATGTCAAAATCTATTACTGGTAAAAATACAGCGATACATTAAATACAAACGAACAGAAAACTCGTCTAATAACATAAAAAGGGAGGTTAAGGCCATCTTTCTCCTAATCTTGGAGAAAATTCCGAAAGCACATCAGTAAAACTCAACTATTTCTCATCCAGCCAAGAAGCTTACAACGATAAATAGGTAACTCGCTGAAGAAACCAGCGATCCTTACAAAAAAAAGTCATATTTCCCAAACAAAACATTCGCATTGAGAAAAAAAAAGCTGCTACAAATGCTGTGTTGAACAAATATTTTAGCTGCACAGATAACTAAATGGATGATATCTTAAAAATTAACAAGCTTCGTACCAGAAGTTTGTTTAATAATCATAAAAGCACATACCTTAATACCTTAATGATGATNATGCCCCTGGGCCCATACTTTCAAAAAAAGTTAAGAGATCGTAAGTCCATCAGCCAATCATTGACGGCCTTTCAAGCAAAATCCACCAATAATAGACAAGAAAATAGAGCGTAAGTACTTACGTTCACTTAGCGAGTTTTGAAAGTATGGCCCCGGGGATAGAGCCAAAGCGTGAAAAAATACTCCAGCTCTCAAAACTATTACCGTAACTGTGCAAACCATCGCGCCTCAGCGCATCGAAATATCGCATCATACAATAAAGCGCTACCTGCACAGCTAAAATATTAATCTGTGCACAGTTAACAATTTTTTCTATGTACAGGATATCAAAAGAGAATGACATGTAAACGACGAATGACTTACTACGTTTGATATGTGATTTCAGCGGATGGCTTGAAATCACATATCAGTCTGTCAAGAAAACACCCAAATCCGCATAATAAAAAAGTAACTCCGAATCATTTAATATTCTTTTTGTTATCTTAAAAAATCTAGCTTTGAATATCAGCCTAAATAAACACTGTCATTCTCGGTCTCTTTGTTGAATTAGTATACGAAATCACAGTGATAATATCTTACCAGGTTAAAAAAACACAGCCCCCCCCCTAACAAGGAACACATTTTCTTTCTACACTTTTTTATTGTTTCCTGGGTGACTATTACATCATATCCGTTTTATCTGAAACTAAACTAAGCTCCAAGTGGTTTGAACCATTGCTTTAGTACCATAGAATTAATTAACTTTCATACTTTTAATTCTTGAATATAATGCTTGAAATTCGTTGTCTTGCTTGTAATTTTTTCAACATTATTTCACGAATAATTTCCTTTGTTTTTGAGGCCTCATGACTTCATAATATTCTAGGATTTTTTCCTAATTTGTAAATTTACGTCAATTTATCAAGTAATAGGAATAGTGGTGTCAGCGTTGACTAGGCAAAATCTGGCCTGTCGCCGATTCTTAGCAGGGTACAATTCTTACAGCAACCCTTATTTGTTGAGGTCTCGAATCCGCAACCCACATTCTTGTAGGGGATTGCGGGTTTTCTGTTCTTACAGCAATCCCCATTTTTGTTGAGGTTTCGGACCCGTTACTCACAACTCAAAATTGGAGCAGCGAGTAGAAGTTCAACCAATCTCAACCGCTCGGCCTCCTCGCTGATTTTTACTGCGTAGAACTGTCAAAGGAAGTTGAGAACGAACCCACAACACACTGCTCCAATCCTAGCACTCTGAACTTTAACCGCTCGGCCATCCAGCCCCAATTTTTATAATGTTTTTAACAAAAAGTAAAAAATTATGGACGAAAAGACTGTTGTTCTCTTCATTAATACGAACTTCTAATGGGCATCTTTCGACGCATAAGTAGCACTCTCATTGGCAGTATTTTTAACCTTTTAGCGTCTAGCTGCACATATCTGTCGACTTTCACAAGGGCGATTTTTGTTTATATTTGAAGCTCATTTGTCCAATTGGACAAGTGTACTGGTTTTAATATCAGGCTGCGCTATGCCTAGATGAAGGTTCTGTCGCCTGTCAATTGTTTCAAGATTGTTCCTGAGCGCCCCACCGCTGAGCTCGCGGTGTCTGACTGTAGGTCTCAGTTGTGGGGTTAAGTTATTATGTAGGTAGGATTAAAAAAGGGAGGTTAAGGCCATCTTTCTCCTAATCTTGGAGAAAATTCCGAAAGCACATCAGTAAAACTCAACTATTTCTCATCCAGCCAAGAAGCTTACAACGATAAATAGGTAACTCGCTGAAGAAACCAGCGATCCTTACAAAAAAAAGTCATATTTCCCAAACAAAACATTCGCATTGAGAAAAAAAGCTGCTACATAGTACGCTGAGTTGAACAAATATTTTAGCTGCACAGCACAGGTAACTAAATGGATATCTTAAATGTTATTAAAATTAACAAGCCTCGTACCAAAAGTTTGTTTAATAATCATAAAAGCACACACCTTAATACCTTAATGATGATCGGGATCGTACCTTAGTTTTATACTTAATACTGATCAAAGCTCGTACAAAAAACCTAACACTGATGTATAAATGTGGAAAACCTATAAGCTGTAAACTTGCACACAAAAGCAAGCTTCAAAAATACAAGTAACTTTGGCAGCCGTGTTAGAGATTCCGCGAGGCGATGTAATACTGGATTTAGAGCAGAAACTGCAATACAAAAATAAAATTCTAGTAGGTACATTTTTAAATATGTCGTTCTAGTTAAACTGATAATGCTAACAGCAAATGGAATTGGCCATTACGTATAAATTAAGATTAAAAATTTAAATATTATCATGCATACTTAACTGGATAATACTAAAAAAATTATTACGTTCACAAAATCGTAAGGTGCATGTGTTGCAGGTGAAATTTACGTACAACTCTCCCCGTCTCTATGTTGTAATTTATAAATGCAGGAGTGGGCAATATTAAAAATGATACGAGCACTGACGTAACAGTGGATACCAGGCTACCATTTGATCCCATAAAAAATAATGACCTGCTATATATTATAAAACATTTATTATAAAATATTCTGCAGACGCTAATAAGGCTGGAACATGAGACAACGCAGTGTTAACGACTTGTAATTCTATCAGAAGACTAGCTCAACATTTGAGACAAAGTGTCATGGAAGAATGCCTCTTCTTTGACTCCAAGTAGAATATTATACGTAGTAATAGAACTATTATTAACGAAGTAATGCTTACTTCAAACTGACCATGAACATAAATTATCAATAAAATATCAGCTAGCATCTTAAGCAAATATTAGTGAAATTATCAATAACCTTACAATCCTAAAAAAAGTAATCAAAATAGTGCTGAATCAATATCGTATACGGTGAATTTCAGACGAAAGTTCTTTATTTGTAAATTGAATATGCCGGAATTTGAGCCAGTCTCTTCAAGATAAAAGCAATTACTTCATAGAAGATCATACAGATTACCAGAACGAGCACAGATAATCGAAAACTTATCTTACTTGCAAAGACGTAATTATCCATCAAATAACGTAGAATAAAACCAAAGTAAAGAATACATGAACATAAAGCTAAGATGTAATATGAGTTAGTAAATTAATTTTTGTTCCCAGGATGATGAATAAAGTTACATAATTTATATCCACTGATGGCAAAATCTCAAGGGCAGTGTGTTCACATCGAGTTTATTTCTACCTCAACGGATTGAGTTCCTGAATTTAGATCCCCTGTTGAGGCTGACAGTGATGTTCCTGCTCAGCTGATCAAACTCTACCATGTGCCGCTTGTAGGCACTAGGTTCTTCTCCTAAGAGGTCCACACTGTGTGCGGTGCGGTGGTGAACGTCAGTGGGGCGGTAGGCTGACGGGACAACTCCAGGACCTCCTACACGGTGGGGAGACTGGAAGCTGCTCCACTGGTGGCGATGGAGTGGTTGGCCAGGGTACGGTGGAGGGTCTCTGTTACAGCTCGGTTGAGTTAGTTTATGCTTAGTTTGTCTAAATAATAGGGTGACTTTGATAGTTTAACATAATAACGACGAAGTTCACAGCTGAAGAGGACATATTATTCCAATTCCATTCATTCATAAGATGGTATTGGTTCACATGAACGAGCTACTTTCCAAGAACTGATTGTGGTTATAATACGTACGTATCTAGCACGACAGTATTACATTTCAATATTCAAGTATAAATCAGTTATAATTTAACTCAGCATTGTCGTACAAGTATCTTCTGCAGCAATAATGTTAGCAGCAGCACTCTGTTTTCAAGGCAATAAAACCGAGCTAGTACCTTGCTACTTGCATCTCCATACAAAATGTCTCCAGAGCCCTATTTCATGGCATCACACAAACTTACCTTTCTTCAAGCACATCCTCCATGGTAGGCTGGCAGTGCGAGGTGCCCGCCGTCCCAGCATGAGAAAGAGGACCCAGTCTGCTGTGCACGCTCGTCTGATGATCGCCAGAGAAAGAGACGCTCAGGTTGCCACGAGTGGCTCGACCAGGTGACCGCAGCAGTCGTCCCTGTGGCGTCCTCATGATTCTTCCTTCTAGGCCAGACCTGTTCAAATGAAAACATTATTGATATCATTGTGGCTTCTTCCATACGCGTGATACAGAGAGAGCATCCCAACGGCACCCTTCAAAACTAACAGAAAAATCTATCTTGCAGCCTCTTATTCTTGCGACTCACTCAGCCTCACCTGATGAGTCTATGCTGCAGCCTCGTGAATCACTTAGCCTCACCTGATGGGTCTATGCTGCAGCCTCTTGGTCTCGTAACCACGAGGTGGGGGCGGAGTGCTGCAGTTGAAGGGACTGTAGAGCTTGCCAGGAGTGCGGCGTATGGAGCCCCGTGGTGGTGTAGCATAGCTGCTTCCTCGTGGACTGTTTGGGTCGAGTTTGTAGCGCCGCTGCGTTGAAGTCTTGAATTTCTGTCGAATCAAAAGAAAAATTCAATGGCCTTTAAAGCAATTTCTTGAAACGTGCATGTTAGTACACAAATGTGCATTCACTTTTTAACAATAAACTGATGCTTGAATAAGTTATAGATTTTAGTTCAAGAGAATTTCCTTTTAGTACTAAGAGAAAAAGCTAACAATTTTTGTTGAATAATTCAATTGATCTGAAATTTCGTCAATTTCTATAAATAACCCTTAATTAAATTATTGCAAGACTATTGTCAACAGGAATTATAGATGATGGACTGAAAGGGGAGGCACTGGGTGTGAATGAAAGAACATACAGGAGGAATGAGTTAACTTTTTAGCATTATACGGTGATGAGAATGCAAAGGAAACTGTGGACCACCTGTTGGTGGAATGTGAAGAGTAAGCTTGACGAACTAGAGTAATGACGTGGGGTAATAACAAACAGAAAGGATTCATCACAATGAATACATCACAATGCATGGCGTTTCTGACCAATGCCAGCTCTCGCCAAAGAAGTAGTAGTCCATTATTAGAGGCAATTGCTATAATAATGGAAGATATTTCTTTGTACTCTCAAGATTCATGTTTACAAGAGTAGACATAGAAAAATAACATATTATTCCATATTATTTTATAAAAAGCGCATAATTTTTTATGGAATCACACAATGTTTCTGTCATTCTTGAATCGAACCACTACAAGGAACGCTGTTCACTAATCTTCCTGAGATCAGAAAATAAATGAAAAAATATCATACCTGTGAAATACTTGCAATGGCAGTTCGACAACCTTGAACAGCCTGAGACAAACGATGTCCGCCAAACTTGAAAAATTTGCCAGAGTTGATTTTGTTTTCCTTTTCAGGATGCAATCTGTGCCACAGTGGGGCAATGCTTGAATGGTTGTTCTTAAAAGACTGCTTGTGAGGAGTTGCTTCAGTAATGTTGGTGTACACATCTTCACCAGCAGCAAAGGTTTGGTTCAAATTACCACGTTTATGCGAAAGGTTTGAGAAAGGCTGGAATACAGAGAACTGCCGCAGAGCAGATGACGACTTTGATTGGTACTTCAGAGCTCCTCGTACACCCTGACATTCCTCTTCTTGGTCCTCCATCAGCATCTGTGTATTCATGGGAATAGCTGTCATATTATCTAAGAAAATTACCAAGCTATAATCAATTTTGATAACTTTCAAATATTTCTTTATATCTCTTGTCAAACAAAATTGTCATCAGCAATAATTATAATTATCAACAATGATTATTTAAAAATTTAATTTACTCAGCATCAATATGGCTGACATTTCACGTCAATCATAGCCTCAATTTCATTTTCTTACAGCTTGTTCATGCCAGTTGTTATAGTCATCAATATCAATTGGCGGGGCGCAGATCGTGGTGTTGATGGACTGTGGAACAATGTTGGTGCTGGCATCAATGTTGATGGTGGTGTTGAAGTGAGGGTTACGACGGCCTGGAGTGTTGCGTGGAGGTAGTGGAGGAGGCTCCACACTTGACTCGCACTGCATTGCATCTTCCAACATCTCTTGCTGATTCTCATAAATTTTCTCCAAGCTGCTCACATTATCTCTGCAAACCAACAAGATTAAATAATAATACTTTTAAATATATTTAGAAACTATTATCAGTGTAAATTTTCACCAACATTCTGATACTCAAGAAAAATGAATAGATGATGGCTTAGACCAGACTTTGCATCAAACTCTTTCTGCTTCTCCTGAAAGAGAAAAAGACATCTGGGACATGTTTATTACATACCCGTACTCATGGCAGTGATGGCACAGAAATTAGAATTAGAACTACTCCTCCAATAGCTAGCTCATTACAAAATCATCATTTAATGAATCAAATAATGGTAATATTATTGACAATATAATGTTATATATAATAATAATATTGAACCAAACACAAATTAAAAACTATTTTCAAATCTCAAGATAAAAAAAAATAATTTAGGCTGCTTAATTCCACGAAAAAGTTTCCGTGAGAATTGAACCTCTAACCTCAAGACACTAATGATGATTTCTGGTGGTAATAGACAACCTTAATATCTTCAATGGAGAGATATTTGCAGGAGAAATGAACCTTTAAAATAATGATTATGGCATTAAAAATCCTATGAATGAGAGCATGATAAAACTTCAATTATGATTTCCATATAAGACTTTTAGCATTGATCTTGTTAAGAATTTGATGTCAATGAAACACGACCTTGATGACAGCCATGACACTATGTAGCTAGGGCATACATACATAACACCCTATTTGGAATATTGGGAAGAAGTTTCCTAAAATTGTGGGTAAAACCATCGTTCCACGAATTATTTTTAAAAATTGAGGTTGAAAATAGGCTGTTTTTTATTTATTACTACAGAATTTAGGTACTTAAAAGGGATAGGAAGATAGGAACATGTGGAATTGGCCAGATTCATGGTTGTTTTTTTCCATTAAACGTGTAGCTTTGGCCCACTTTCCTACTCGGCCAAGGAGTACTGATAATAAATTTTTAGGCACAAAATTGAAAACTTTTCTAAAATTATGTTGAGTCTTAAATGCTACTATCACTATAGACCTATATATATTATATACATATAGATTTAATTATGATAGGTAGTACCTATCATAATTAATCATAGTGGCTAAAATTAGGTACAACTCAAAAAATGCTATCAATAAGTCAGTGTGTCTGCTTTTCATTCAATATTCTATCAACTTTAAAATAGAATATAATCCCTTTCCCTGATTCCTGAATAAGACAAAATTTAAAAATGCACACGCTCATCTTTTGGATAATGTTACCCATTTTTATTGCCTTGGCCTAGCCTAATTTTTGCTTTCTTGAAAAAAACGCACATTTTTGACTGCAATTTCATAAACCATTTGTAAAATTCTTTTTATCACCTACAATTATTGGAAAATTTATACACATTTTCTACATTAACTGAATACCTAGTGATTTAAATTGAGCACTTACATATTTTTGTTTCTGACAGATTTCCAATTTTCGTAGTCTGGCAAGAAGGCAGGTCCAGGTCCAGATGCATTCTGCAACCCAAATCTTTCTTCTAAATTTATTTTGCTGCTTGGTGTTGCCGGTGGTGGTTGATAATCTTCATGCAAGTAGTGAGCATCATCTGGCATAGTTCGTTGAAGGAATCTCCAGTTTCTTGCCAATCCTGCCATTATGATTTATCTGAAACGTTTAATAAACGTTACCAAAGGAAATTTTGTAAAATATTCTTTCTTTTAATTGCACAATGAATTAGTTTTCGACCAATAAGACGAATTTTACCTTAAAAATTTAACAAAAACGAAAGTACCTAGCCGAGAGTCGAGACTGAGTCACAGCCTCACTGGAAGCTCAACGTCAACTGCTATCGTACTTAAAATACAATTATTGAATTAATATTAATAGGTTTGCACAAAACAAAATGATACGATATTCATTCTAGCATAACTGATCATTCATAAATATAATTGCAGAATATAGGATGATGCGATATATAATTCAAAATCACTATTCTATCGACTAAATAAACGGCGCTACACAAAAGGGTTACGTTACGTCGTGCAGCTGATTTTGAAATCTGCGGTGCGATAGTTGCCATCTGGTGGTAATCCCTGAACAAAAACGCTCACTTTTCGTTCTTTAATGCCCGAATATTATACCCTGCAGTTAACTTGATACTTTAATTTATCAGATAATAAGAATTCTCAGTGTATAAAGCATTTTTTGTGTCTTTTACATAGTTATTGGTTTTATCATTACGTACTACTAATCGGCGACAGGCCACATCACAGGCCAACACTTCAGCGTTGATGTCACTATGTCATCACTATGTTACTTTATTGATGCATCGAATCGACACTTCTCCGAACGCATCCGAGTACTCTGGCCCATTAACCATTCTCACCAACCTCCTTCTCCGTCAGTCTACATGCTCTATTCAAGTATCGCTTTTCACTGTCAGTCGTGGCAGCACTGCCGCAGCAATCACCTCTTCTGACAGACCATCTATCCATTCATATCCCGTTTTCTCATAACTAATGCCATCACTCATTCTATTCTCGTCTGGCAAGCATCACTCATTTAATTTTCAGTCTTTCTCTCTCATACGCTTTACAGTTACACCCTATCATCAGATGTTCCACAGTTTCCTTCTCACCGCTTTCACACATCACACAAGTGTCTTCTCTTTTTAACTCTGGATATGTGTCAATATGCAGAAAGTGGAAACTTATGTTTCGTTGACCGTGAATAGCATTATTAAATAACTGTGAATATATGTGCAGTGATATTGAGTTTAGTAATTAAAAAGATATTTTAAGCTGCATTTTTCGTTTTGTTCAAAAACGAAACAACTGAAAATTTCAGTATCATTAGTATTTGTTTGGGACATAGCAGTCCCAGGCCACGATGGATCGCCGCCTCTGATTATCGTTCATCCGCCCTCATTTGGGCCACCTGATGCACGATGCTGTTGCTTGCTTCTCGCCACTGGTAGTGTCGCAGAGGAGGTCGATCTGGGATTGTGCTCAGGAACACGTCTAGTTGTCTCTTGAAGGTCTCCAGGGTGAACTCCACCTCTCTTAGATCCCTTGGTAGTGCATGGTGGCCTAGTTGTTAAAGTTCAGGGTACCGAGATTGGCGCAGAGAGGCGCGGGTTCGATCCCAGCTCTGTGCGCGCCAGTTTCTGGTCAGAATCGGCAAGGAGGCCGGGCGGTTAAGCAGAGCAGAATTTGAATCAGTGAGTTGTGAGTTCGAGACCGCAACGCGCAACAAGCTGTGGATGTTCTGCGGTGTTAAGAATCGGCGACAGGGCTATGGCCTACTAACAAAGGAGGCCGGGCGGTTAAGCAGAGCAGAATTTGAATCAGTGAGTTATGAGTTCGAGACCGCAACAAGCTGTGGATGTTCTGCGGTGTTAAGAATCGGCGACAGGGCTATGGCCTACTAACACTGAAACCGCTATTATTATTATAATAATTCTTCCCGCGGAACATTGGTGACAATTACCATCGATACCACACAAGTCGCCGCTCAAGCAAAAACTGCACATACCTCGCTGCTTGTCACTAAAGGGGTCCGATCGCCACATAATAACTAAAAAACAAAACAGTTTTTTAATTGAAAAAACAGCGCGGGAAAGATGTCGTCCAGTTTTGTTTATAAATTTTTTATTGGAGGCTGGCGACTTAAGTGCTGCTGGCCAGTTATCGTCATTGACGGTAGTCCTCTTTTGAATTTCATGAAGATCTGTTGAGAATTGAAAGATTCATGAACTGTTCGTACCTCTCGGACACTTACGGCCGGTCCCCAAGGTTAAGTGAGCCTAATATATCTCCCAAACTAGGTAACGCTGACTTTGCAGACGGGCCAGGATTCGTGTTAAGCCAAATACAGTATATCTTCTATGTTCTATCATACAGTACAGGTTTGAACGAAACTTAGAATGCGCATTTTAAACTACCTACCAGTGTTGTTTCAGTCAAATTTGCTGTTGTTCGCGAGTTATCCGGCTATACGGAGAAATAGCAGGCAACTTTGAATGTGCATTTTAAACTACCTACCAGTGTTTTTTCAGTCAAATTTGCCGTTGTTCGCGAGTTATCCGGCTATACGGAGAAATAGCAGGCAAATTTCTAGTAAGCCTAAAATGTCTCTTAAAGTAATGAACGCAGTTCGATTAAACTTTTCACGTACCTTTATTATGCATAAACATAGCTGTGATGTTCAAGTCGTGTTCAATTTTTATATTTTGCTTTCGTTTCCAAGATAAGCGGTGACTTTTGTTCAAATGTGTACAATAGGATAAAAGAAATTTTGGGCTCATTGCGAACATTGAACCACATGACCATATAACTTGGAAATTATAATTACTTTGATATTCAAATCCCATCGGTACTATTATGGTCAAGGCTTGCTAATGCATACAATTTGTTGCGAACATGATTCATATAAATCAGTCTTAATTTATGTTATATTCATAAATATAGAATTAATGATAGTATCGTTATATCAATTTTATTCAGTTACTGTTTACGCATGAAACGTCAAATTTTGACAGCTTTTTGAGTACAATTCTGATAAATGTACTTATTTCTCTGATTTTTCTTTATATTCATTTATTAAATATTTCCGTAATTTCAGAAACGGACTTCCGACGATCTCATTTTCTTTCATGCACATTTTTAGAGAGGCAAGTCTGACTAGCGTGAGTGCTTCGTCGACTTCAAAGGAAAGTAGAAGATGAGAAATTGTTAGTTGCACACTCGAGACCGTCTGAAAGCTTCTACAATTGTTCATCAATTTTTAAAGTCAAATTTAATTTTTTGTTTAAATTGTTTAATAATTTCTGAAATGGCATCTCGACGGGAAGTCCTGCATCTTTACAAATTATTGTTGAGGGAGAGCAAAAAATTGTCATCTTACAATTTCAGGTAATTCTAAATATACGATTGTATGCAATTCTTTTTTACTATACCAAATTATTATACCATAAAATGTTTACTTCAAAACTTTTGTTCAAAACATTCACATAAGGCATAAGATGAGAATTTGAAAAAAAAATAAATCTTTTTCATTCAAATGACATATTTAAAGTGTGATAGCTATTTGAAATATAAATCTTAAAATTTTTGGTTCCATTGCACAGCAATATTAACTCTCAACTTTAACATGGGTAAAAGATAATTCATTGTGTACAAAGCTGACAACTGACAAGATTAGGGCCTATGTAGGCTAATTTCAGACTTTTAGTGAATTATAAATCAATATATATTGTTATTTTAAAGGCACACTACAATTTAGTAGTATTCTAGATATGGTTCATATGTTTAAGATTGATACAATATGGTAACTTGGGCAATTTCAAGATTTTCAATTTTCAGCTAGCCTACCTAAGCTTAGCCTAAGCCTAACTGCCTGGTAACTCTAAGACCTAAGTTATAAGTATACAATTAAAATCTTAAAATAAGATTTGACTTGGAAAGAAAATATGATATCTGTATTTCAATCTGAAATAATGGACAAAATTGTTACAAATTTAAGATAAAAAAAATTGGTTCATAGGTAATTTCCGTAAATCAGGTGCTAAAATCATGAAATGTGAGCTATTTGCTAATTTTTGTTAAATAATTTTATCTAAGTCCATAGGCATAGTGGCAAAGGAGAACATTTTTCATTGCCCTTCCTCAAGTTCATTTTTGAATCCCATAAGTAAACTAGTAAGTTTTTTAGCTAACAACATTATTGTACATAAGAAATTTATTAAAATATTAAGTAGAAGAGGAAATTAAATATGAACTGATTGTAAAAAAATCTCTGGTTTCTCACTATATCCATAGAAATTTGTCAAATTAATAGGAACTTCTGCAAGCATAGGCATTTTTGTCATTGGTTACTTACTTCTGCGGCAGCTCTGCCTAGCTTCCTAGTTAGGTGTGCACTTGTTGATTAAATCTCCCTTCTGAATTCCAGTTATCTCACCTTGATATGGTATACCTAATGTTGGAAAATTAAAATTGTGCAACTTACAAATACATTGCAAAAAATTTAAAATTCTTTAGCTCAGTACCATGCTCATTACCAAAATTCATATAATTGATATTGTTAATATTTTCAGAGAATATGCTGTCCGCCGGGTACGGGATGCCTTCAAAGATAATGCTGGTGTTAATGACCCTCATGTGCAATCTGTTCACATTCAGTTTGCTCGTGAACATCTTCAAATGTTGCATAGACAGGTACAAACTAGTATATTTTGAAGAATGAACTCTATCTGATTATTAATCTATCAAATGTCTCCTCTGAATTTAATATAAATCCATCTAATGTTGATTTAGTATCCTGAGTCATGAAAAAGTATGAGCTGGTAAATAAAACTAAGTATTTTTTGTGTGGCTTCCCTATTTGCACCTTATTACAATAGGTGAATGAGTAAAATAATCCAAATAATTAAATTTTTTGAATGATAATAACCATATGATATTTTTGGGCTACTTACATATATAATCAATAATATTGATTATAGGCTGTTTCATTTACTTAAAGAATTTCTTAATAAGTCTTATTTGCAAGTTGTAAATTATAGTTATTATTAAGTTGTCAATTATAACTTTCTTTTCCCAGGCTGTCATCAGTTCCCTATATTCTGGTCCTAATATTGTGGTGGAGAAGGAGTCTGGTCATCGGTAGCAAATGTTTCTTGGCTGGTATGATCAAACTATTGCTGCAACGGCTCAACAAGAGCTAACTTTTGGTCCACTTCTTCAAAACCTTTAGTCTGATCCAAAATTTTATGTATAAAAGATCATCATTTCCATGTTCAGTGTACTAAAATTATGCAGAAGTAAGAAGGGTAAGCAAGAATTGTTCCTCTGCCTTTCACTACATAGGAATTTAATTGTGATAAATTGTACTTGAATATATGTAATAATCGTAAATACTTCACTTTGTTACTTACCTGTTAAGAAAAATTGCTACAAAAATGGTTATTTTCTTCAAAAATAAAAATAAAAAATTGTTTATATCCACCGTTGTATATAGATACCTTA